TATAGACCAGTATGGACCAGTATAGACTCGTATGTATTAATATAAACCAATACGGGCCAGTATGGGTTAATATAGACCAATATAAACCAGTATAAACCAGTATGGACCAATATAGACCAGTATGGAGCACTATAAATCACTATGGCCCAGTATAAACCAGTATAAACCAGTATGGATCAATATAGACCAGTATGGAGCACTATAGATCAGTATGGCCCAGTATAAACCAGTATAAACCAGTATGGATCAATATAGACCAGTATGGAGCACTATAGATCAGTATGGCCCAGTATAAACCAGTATGGGTCAATACAGACCAGTACAAACCAGTATATACCAGTACAGACCAGTATAAACTAGTACAAACTGGTATAGACTCATATAAACCAATACAGACCAGTATAAACCAGTATGAACCAGTATAGACCGGTATGGACTAGTATAGACCAGTATAAACCAGTATGGACCAATATGCACCAGTATAGACCAGTATGGACTGGTACAAACTAGCTAGAGCCAGTATCACCAACTCAGAACCAGTACAAACCAGTACAAACCAGTACAGACCAATCAGAACTATTACAGACCAGTATAAACCAGTATAAACCAGTAGCACCCACTGGTCTCCTTTCGCTGCCCCAGTAGCTCCCAGTAGCTCCCAGTTCACCCTCAGGAGGTCCCAGAGGTTTCCCCAGGCCCCCAGGTGCCATCCCAGTACAAACCAGTACAAACCAGTATAAACCAGCAACTCCCAACCAGGCTCCTGGTGTTGCCNACACTGGGAAGGACTGGGAATGAGTTTGGGACACTGGGAGGGGACCGGGAATGGACTGGGAATGAACTGGGAGGGGACCAGGAATGAGCTCGGGGCAGTGGAAGGGGACCGGGAATGCACTGGGAATGAACTGGGAGGGACTGGGATGGAATGCAAAGGGACTGAGAGGGAACTGGGAGTGACTAGGAGCGACTGGGAATGAACTGGGAGGGACTGGGGACACTGGGAAGGACTGGGAATGAGTTTGGGACACTGGGAGGGGACCGGGAATGGACTGGGAGTGACTGGGGTGGACCGGGAGGAGACTGAGAGGGAACTGGGATTCACTGGGAGGGACTGGGAATAAACTGGGAGTGGACTGGAGACGCTGGGAAGGACTGGGAGTAGGATGGGACCACTGGGAGGGGAACAGGAATGGACTGGGAATGAACTGGAGGGGACTGGGGACACTGGGAAGGACTGGGAATGAGCTCGGGGCACTGGAAGGGGACCGGGAATGGACTGGGAGTGACTGGGGTGGACTGGGAAGGGACTGGAGAGGATCAGAGGTCACTGGGAATGGACTGGGAGCACTGGGAAGGGACTGGAGAGAATCAGAGGTCACTGGGAGTGGACTGGGAGTGAACTGTAATGGACTGGAGAGGATCAGAGGTCACTGGGAATGGACTGGGAGTGGACTGGGAGCACTGGGAATGGACTGGAGAGGATCAGAGGTCACTGGGAGTGGACTGGGAGTGAACTGGAATGGACTGGAGAGGATCAGAGGTCACTGGGAGTGGACTGGAATGGACTGGGAGTGGACTGGAGAGGATCAGAGGTCACTGGGAATGGACTGGGAGGGACTGGGAATGGACTGGAAAGGATCAGAGGTCACTGGGAGTGGACTGGGAGGGACTGGGAATGGACTGGAAAGGATCAGAGGTCACTGGGAATGGACTGGGAGTGAACTGGAATGGACTGGAGAGGATCAGAGGTCACTGGGAGTGGACTGGGAGTGGACTGGGGATACTGGGAATGGACTGGAGAGGATCAGAGGTCACTGGGAGTGGACTGGGAGTGGACTGGGAGCACTGGGAATGGACTGGAGAGGATCAGAGGTCACTGGGAATGGACTGGGAGTGGACTGGAATGGACTGGAGAGGATCAGAGGTCACTGGGAGTGGACTGGAATGGACTGGGAGTGGACTGGAATGGAC